CCAGGCGCCCCAAGGGGTCATTTTTTTTTAGCCACCCATTCTACTGCCTCCATGCTGTGTGCTATACAGCAAAGACATATTTACAAATATGAGGTCCATGAAGGGAAGATGGATGGTGCTATAAGGACACGTAACAGGGCATCTCAATTTTTCTTGGCTTATCTGAAGGCTGAGTAGTGGTTGTTTTTTAAAATTTTTAAATTTTATTTTTAGATAAAGAGAGTGAGAGAGCACAAGAGGGGATAGAGGGGGAGAGGGAGAGAGAATTCCAAGCAGGCTCCAAGCTCAGTGGCAGAGCCCCATTTGGGGCTCCATCCCATGGCCCTGGGATCATGACCTGAGCCAAAATCAAGAGTGGGAGGCTCAACGGAGTGAGTGGCCCAGGCACCCCTGAGGGCTCAGTAGTGTTAACCAAGCAAAAAGGGGAAGTGGGAGAGGGAAAGACATGAAACTGGTCACAACGGAGGGGAGACTATGGAACCACCTGGATATAGTGTGGTTCATTGGTAGCGGTAGTGGGTGGGAGGAAAGGATCTGGAAGGCCTCATGGAGGAGGCAGATCTGAAGGAAGACCTTGAAATATTGGTTTAGTTTGTAGGGCAGGGAAGAAAAGGAAACATGAATTCAGATTGAACCTAATTAATTTGGGGGACAGAAAGACACTGGTTTTTAAGATTCTTTCAATTGCAAATAGCAGACACTCAATTTAAACTGGCCAAAGAAAGCAACGGCTTTACTAGCTTAAGTTGCTGAATAGTCCAGATTATAGATCTAGCAGCAGGTAGATAAACATGTTGTTAGGATCTCTCTTACATTCCTCAGTTCCATTTTTCTACGTTGGCTTCAGTCTCAGGCATGAAAATATGGAAGCTCTAGACTTTATCCTATCAGTTCAGCAAACTCAGGAAGGGGAGTACTTATTTTTCCAAAGGCCCGGGTAGACTCTCATTGGCTCCGCATATATTACATTCTCCTTGTTGAACCAATCACTGTGGCTGGGCCATGAGGTGCTCTCATTGGCCAGCCCTGGATCATGTGCTTTCCTCTGGAGCCAGGGGGCAGGGGCAGCCACACTTGAACCTTAGGTTCTGAAAATGAGAAAGTTTCCTGAAGTAGAATCTAGAAGCTGGACAGGTAAACACTGGGAATGGCACCACAAGTGATTGGCTGGAGCAGTGCTCCTCACACTTCATTTATTTAAAAAAAAAATTTTTTTTTAATGTTTATTTATTTTTGAGAGAGAGGGAGACACAGAATCTGAAGCAGGTTGCATGCTCCAAGCTGTCAGCACAGAGCCTATCGCGGGGCTCGAACTCACCAACCGGGAGATCATGACTTGAGCAGAAGTTGGACACTTAACCGACTGAGTCACCCAGGTGCCCCATCTCCTTGCATTTTATATGAAGAGTCTCATTTAGTAGGTCTGGGATGGGAACCTAGAGTCTACGCTTCTTTCTAACAGCCTCCCAGGTGAGACTAGTGCTATTGGTTTATGGACCACATTTTGTGGAGCAGGGCCATACGATCTGGAGTGACTGCCTCCCTCAAATTTACTTAGACTGTTTAGGACTAGCCTGTATCCCATCCTTCCATTTGCCCACTCTCCTGTTTTAACTCCATACCTTCATATTGGCTGGCCTATATGTGAAATGCTTTTCCTCAAATTTCTCTCATTAATTTGTCAACATTTTTATGACTTTACCTCTATCACCTCCAAATGTCTCCTCGATGAGTGACGCTGAGGTTAGGATTCTTCTTCAACTGATGCCTTTTCCAATTTAGACCTGTGAACACTAACCTTGTGGCAGTATAAAAATACATTTAATTATTCATGAGTCTGACAAGATCTGCGGTGTTCATTGATCTGTTGTGTATGTAATTCACTGCCTGAGTTTCAATCTGGGTGTTTGTCTGTATTGAACACTTCAGTTTTAGGCTATAGGCTGTTAAAAGGCATGCAAAAGATCCTTGGAACTTGCTGATATAGCACTCAGTAACCGGATGATGTTCAATTCTCATTATGTCATTGGTGTTTTCAATCCTCTGGCCTTTGCAATCCACTGTGCCGATGTTGGCAGAAATAATGCCTCTAGTATGGTATAAAATTTCCATATCATTTAAGGCTTTGGATTAATGCCTTTAGAATGGAATGTCTGTGAAATTGAGTCCTGAGGCCTGAGTTTTAGCCTCAAGTGTGCTTCTTGCACGTATTTTGTGACTTCCTCCAAGCCTTCAAACCTCTTTAGGCCTTTTACCCAACTGGCCATATTGGGTGTCTTGTGGTCCTCTTCTCTCCCATGGTGCTCTGCCAGCTTTTCAGACCTGCTTCATTTGTAACGCGTGGGTGACACCATGGCGGTAGGATACTTGACCCTCTGAGTCTTATTTTACCCACCTGCAAGAGGCAATAATCATCATCTGATAGCTATGGTGGTGACTGACGGCCATGACTGCATAGAAGAAGATCATGGCTGACAGTGGTATGACGTCAAGGTTGGCTATTGCCATCATCAGGATCCGTTTGGAAACAAGATGCTGCCAGGATGACTTAACATAAGCAGGAATATTATTCTTTAAATCCACTGAAATATACAGAGCGGGGGGAGGGGGGGGCGCCTGGGTGGCTCAGCTGGTTAAGCATCTGACTTCATCTCAGCTCAGGTCATGATGTCACCACTTCTGAGTCAAACCCCAATGTCCGGCTCTGCCCTGACAGCCTGGAACCTGCTTGGGATTCTGTCTCTCCCTCTTTTACTCTCAAAATAAACAAACAAACAAACAAACAAACAAACTTAAAAGAAAAAAAAAAAAGAACTAAACAGAGCCAACAGGATCCCACAGAACTTCAGGCAGCAGTTGTCCGTGTTCTATTTCTACCTCAGGTCCTCGAGATCCCAGCCCTCAATGCTTCATCCCTGGCAGTGTAACACTACGGAAATAATGGAGGTTTGGAGGCATGATATTTTGCCAGTATGTCAGCCTTGGTTAGTAAAAAGCTACCTTCAATTGTATTCGTTTCTAATTCGATCTGTCATTAAATACATCGGTTTCAGAATTACCACGGGTTCCACCTCTGTAACTTCTCTGTTGAAAGCACTGAACTGCAACTTTGTAGAATTGTTTCACTCATTCGGAAAGCGGCTCCCCCACTATAGGCGAACAAATCTGCTAAGCGGTGTAGATCCGCATTTTGAGCCACAAGCCACGACCTTTTATGCCGGAAACCAGGCAGCACCCTCACCAAAGCCTAAAGAGGCTGCGTGCCTGAGAGGTCTGTGTTTCCTGAAGATGCGTAAAAGTTTGGTTCTCATTCTATCCGTATTCAAATCGCTCCTTGGGCAGTCTCTAGTCGTCGGCCAGAACCCAGACTTCTCTTTTGTACCTGCTAATGTCACAAATTGCCCGAGCGCGCCGTGGCTGGCCTCCGCCCAGCCCCAGATTCTTGTCCCCTCCCGGCGCCTTTTACCAGGCGGCCGGCCCGCTGCTGGCCAGGGCTTTCCAACAACCCCATGACCTGACCCCATTTACTTCTTGGGTCCCCGCCGGTGCCATCTGGCTGGAACCATGGGGAGAAACCAACAGTTGGACGTGGTCATCCCTGCCCCTGGCTTTCTCCCTCTGCTTTCTGCCCCAAATGAAAAAACCAGGGCTGTTGGGGGAGGAGCGGGAACGGCAAAAGCAACAGGAAGAAAAAGCAAAGGAACAGGCTGTGGTGGAGTCCTCCCAGCCTCTAAACATTCCCATCCCTTCCTCTCCCTCCTCGGACCATGACGGGAGGCCTTGACCATTGAGCCAGGCATATGCTTGCTTGTAAAAGTAAAACAGTCCCCCAGTCCCACAGACCCCCGGACAGTCGCCCCCACTTGCCCCGAGTCAGCCTGGGGGACCCGCGAGGTGTGGTTGCAGCAGCCACGCGAGCCAGGGCCTGGCCGTGCGCTCCAGCCCAGAGAGGGGGAAGCAGGAAATGAAGAGGCCACGAGGCCGGGCCAGTGTGGCCAGGGGGGTGAGCAGGGCAGGGGGCAACGCCCAGGCAGCGGCAGGGAGGGCAGGGCCAGGCGGCGCGCGGCAGAACCTCGGGCGCGGGCTGCACGCAGCTTGCCTCGAACCCTCCCTCCTCCCCCATAAAATTTGCGGCGATGGTGGGATCCCTCGACGGCAATATGCAAAAAAAAAAAAATAAAACATTACATATCGACATCATCATCATTTATCTTTGTATTCCCCAAGCCATCATATCATCGCCTCATCTCATCTTATCCACATCATCATCATCATCATCATCATCATCATTTCACGTCATCCTCACCTCATCTTCTCATTCGATGGAGGCTGTATTTTCCACAGTAGTGGGATTGTTGGGATTTGTTATAGCTTGTCATCATAATTGATATGCCATGTGGCCATATGGGTATCTTTTACTTGAGATACACCGATCCACCATGGACAGTCCTGTTCTACCTTACTAAGATGGCGGTGCGGGATCGCTGCAACCTTTAGACTAATGACCTCCCGGAAACATCGCCTCCATCTGTAATATGGTGAGTGGCGGCCAGCGCCGCCCTCGAGAAGTCACTTTGCCAGGCGCGGCTGTGAACGAAAAGGGAAGCCAGGAAACCGCACCCGCCCAGGCAGGGCAGGCCAGGGGAAGGGGGGCAGGGCAGGGGGGCACTCCAGAAGTCCACTGCGTCTGCAGCGCGGCACGCTTGCAGCCAGTTGGCCCAGCCTGCTCTCGGCGGGCACACACGGGCCCGCAGCCAGGGCAGCCGCGGGGGGGAGAACCCCGATATCCCCGCCCCCTCAGCCCGGGACGGAGAATCCCATGGTGCCAGCCGCGCCTTAAAATAAATGCCCTCCGCCTCGGGCTGCGGTGGAGGCGTCTGGGGGGGTGGGGAATGACCCAGAGACTATGCTCTGCTTTTGAGATCAGGCAGGAGCACCATCCTGCCCTTGCGGTAGATAAAGCCCTGCCGGTCTCCCTGACCGCCCTCATCTCATTTTGAGTTCACTCCTTCAACTGTATTTAAAATTCACTTTGCAAAGGCAGCCGGTTGTATCTGGAGAAATCTGAAATGCAATAAAGCTGTAAAGAAGTGCATAATTGTAGGTGCAGAAGTGAACTTCTACCTGGTTGGGAAAGCACGGTAATTTGTGGTGGATGCCTCAATTTCCCCACCTGTGAAGGAGGGTCAAGGTTATTGGCGGTAACGCGTGGAGGCCCAGAGGGTGGGGCGGTCTTTGGGCCTGGAGGAGGTCTCCAGGGTTATCCTGCCAGATGCACTGCCAGACCCAGTAGAGGCTGGTGAGCAGGGGCACAGGGCAGCAAGGGGACGCCATTGGGCTCTGGTGGGGCTGGGTCCATGATGTGGTGCTCACTTCAATTTGGGTTTCTCCCTTGGCTCTCCCTACCTTTTCAGTTTCTGTGGGAACAGCCTCCAGCCCTTTGGGTGCCCAGGGTGCGTCCTGCTGGCACCCCCCACTTGTCAGAGCTTTGCAAAGCCTCAGCTTGACCCCTGGCATAAGGCATTGCCCTCCTGTGCAGGGTGAGAGACTGTGCTTTGCTTCCATTCTCCAGGGTCCCCTTCCCTTCCATCAAAGCGTCCCCCCCCCCCAAGCTGGAACATGTGTTCTTTTAATGCCAGTTGGGGGAGAACCTCCCTTGAAGCTAATAATACAGGCCCCCAAAGGGAATCTGAGAAGGCTTGATTGAGAAGCCTTGGGGTAAGGTGATCTGGCTACCCTGCCCCCGTCACACAGCTTTTAAAATTTTCTGTCCCACATTCTCCTACAAGATTAACACATGTTCAAGGAGCATTACGGAGCCCTCGTTGTTAGCTCAGGGGTGGAATCAGGACCCACTGGCCCTGGCTTCGGTTTTCAGCACCGTTGGACGTCGCTGCTGCCTTGGCCAGCAGAGCAAAGGCTGGGGCTTCCCAGAGTGATAGCTGCAAAGGTATTGGCGCAGGACCAGTTAGATGTGGTGGGTGGCCCCTGGAGCCGTTCCATTTCCTCCCTTTTCCTTACTTCTCCACGCAGAGATGGGTCTCCTGCTCCTTCCTGTCGAGTGGCATTAACGTTGCTTGGTGCAGTGAAAGGTGATGCCTTTCTTCTCGGTTACTCTCTCTGCGAAGACCAGCTCCTGAGGGGAACTGTGAAACCAGAGCAGCTCTAATACTCTCCCGTGCTTGCTGTGTGGCCTCGGGCTTACAGGGCAGTGAGGCATGGTCCCAGCCCTTGGTGGCGTTCCTCTCCTGCTTGGATGTGGTGACACCTCTCTGTATTGAAGTAGGCTGGGAACTTGAGAGCTTACATGTCCCAAGAGGAAGCCAGCCTCCAGCTTTCCTCCCTCCCCCCACCCCTCCGTGCTGCTGGGGCTTCTTGGCACACCTGGGTGGAATGTCACAACCAGTTTCCAGTAAAACTCAGGGAGGCGGACTGCAGGGAGGACGTGAGAGGTGCAGGCCAGTACTGTGTCTGGAGAGTCGACACCGTAAGTGCAAAGGTATCAGGGTTATTAGCATCATCACCCGGGTGAAATGAGGATCCGGTAATTCCTAAAAAAAGGATTTTTCCGCTCCTGTTTAGACACTGTCTTGAGCGAGTGCAAGCCCTGGCTCTAACATGTGCCCGCTTTTTGTCCTTGAACGAGTTGCTGTCTTCCTTATCTAGCAAAAGGGGATGACAGTGGCTCCTACCTCATCAGGCGTTGTATTAAATGAGCTCCTGCACTACACGGCCTGGTACCTGGCAAGTCCTCAGTGAGGGGCAGCTGCTATTATTAAGCTCTTTTTCACTATTATGGCACCTTCCAATGGTTTAAAAGACCAATGAAGATGATGCGTTCTTGGACCTGGTGGAAGCAACCACTGCTGTAAACGAGCCCCAGGATCATTTATGCAAACCAAGCCGAGAAACTGTATGGGAAGGCTGGGATGGGAGTCCTTTACCCCGCCCCTTGTAAAAGGCTGCTCAGATCACCCCTGTCCCTCCCAGCCTTCCTTCCCACGCGAAAAGGCTTGCTGATGAGGCGACTGCTGTCTTTTCACCTGGCCGCACGTACCTTTGCACTGGATCCCCCTTTAAATTCTTCACGATTATGAATTGTTTCCAGGTAGGTGTTGTCTGAATCTCTCTTCACTATTTAGCTTCTCTCTGGGGCTCTGACTGGTCTTTTCCACTCTGAACGTGGGTAGGTCCTCGCTGGTTTGAGTAGTTGTAGAAAGAGCAAGTGGCAGCTTCGTTTTGTTTTTTTTTTTTTTTTTAAGCAGGTCGTTTGGCATATTTTAAACAGGCTGATGTGTCTAGAAAGGGTGTTAAAAGATACCATCCATCCAGGTAAGACTTGAACAAGCCAAAACCTAGCACTGAAAAGTAGATTTGTTTCCTCTACCAGACAAGAAAGGACCCAACAGAGCAGAAACTAAACTTGGAGCAAATCCTTTATGTGATTGAGAAATGATCACCTTCTCTTTCCCCCGCACTTCTCATGCCGGTTTTAGATACGGGCGTTTTGGAGAATATCCACACCCCTTGCCCGCTGAAATTTTATCGTCTCTTGGAAGTTTCATGCTAGTTCCTATTTGTTTTCATTTTACTTCCATGTGAACTCCTGCCGTAGTGATTCTTGATCAGCTTGCTTGTGTCAGCTTCGCCACACCGCGCATCTGGTTCAGAGAGAGTAAAGCTTGTTTGGCTGGTGTGTTGTAATTTTTAAAATGTACTAGCTGCTGCCAAGCATGAGGAAATGTCCCTCGTTGATAATCCTCTGATTTTTATCCAGATCAATGGATTTAACTTCCTGTGTATTTTTATGGCTCGACGAATGAAAAGGTTTGGTGTGGGTTTTTTTTTTTTTTTTTCCCCTGTTTTCAGTTTGAAGAGCTTGAGAAATTTTCTAAAGAGGAAGCATTTGTTAGGAGAAACCAAATGTGCCCTCTAGAAATGGGACTTGTACCGATGCAAATTGGTCTGAATCATTGAATCTTCATTTGTTGGGAGCGCTCTAAGATGTACCATAGAGAAAATGCTGTGTGTCAAATAGACTACAGTGTCGTTCGCATAAGCAGCCATTTGTTGAGGACCTGCTATGTTTGGGTTGGCATAAACTATGTGTTGGTGCTTCATGAATGAGGGGAGTCCCTATCCCCACAGAGCTCAGCAATTTCGTATTTTGTGGGCATAACATTGGTAAAGATGAAACAATTTGCGTACGGTGTGGTATCTGCACAGATGAACGTTGAACAGAATCTCAGAAGCAATACAAAGAAAAGGCTGATGAACACAGCAGGATGTTTCTTTAACGTAATTTGCATTTGACCAAAGTTGGGTTATTTTTTATTTTATAGTAGCGTAGCTTAGACCTGGCATCTGTTCCATGGCTGTCTTTTTTTAGGCATGAGTCTAAGGGTGCCTTTGGACAAGTTGTCGTATTTCTTGGGACCTTAGTCTTTCTCACCTTGTAAAACTCATACACTTTTTGGAGTTGTCCAAAGCTTCTTAGTGAACGGTATTTCTTAGAGTCTTTATAAAAAATCTCCATCTCCTAATTGGTTAGCAACCATTTGAGGACCAAACCAGCTTATTTAAAACCGTGTGGAATTTACCACATATTAGCATTTTTGTATTCATTGAACAGTCCCAGGATATTATTGGACACCATAGTGAGTGCCGTATTTGAATTGTCTTAAATAAATGAAGTTACCTTGTTATGAAGGGAAAGTAAATTGAGTAGCAATTTGGAACAGAGCTAGAGAATTTTATAGAGATCATTTTATCTTGCTAAGTCAATTGCCTGAGGCAGTATTTTGAGACTAGTTGGAAAAAATTTTTTAAACTATTCAAAAAGTATGTACATCTTATAATATGGGAGAAGACATAACTTATCTCTTCCTCTAGTACTGTTACTGTTGTTTCCCCTTCCCAAAGAGAATTGGAGACTCAGTTTAATGTATCAGCTAGGGGTCTTTAAAGTCATGTGTGAGGGTCTACTCTGATAGTGGTCAGAGTTTAGAAATTGCAGCCTGGGGTGGGGTGGGGTGGGGTGGACTGAGGTTTAAAAAAAATTCTCATCTTCTGGCCTCTTGGTCTAGTATGTAGATGTTTGTGTTGGATCAGGACCTGACAATTAGGCCTATAGATTTTTCTCTGTTTTTTCTTGGATTCCTATATGAAAACAAACTTGAATGCCAATATTTAGTTAGCGTTATAGATTATAATATTATTTTCTAGATATCAACTTTGTGTTCCAGTTCACACACAGAATAAAACCTGTTTTTTCTTTTCATGTTGATTTTGAGAGAGAGAGCATGAGTGGGAGAGCGGCAGGGAGAGGGGGGGAGAGAGAGAGAGAATCTCAAGCAGGCTCTGTGCTATCAGCACAGAGCCCAACGTGGGGCCTGAACCCGCAAACCCGAGATCATGACCTGAGCCGAAATCAAGAGTCAGTCACATAACTGACTAAGCCACCCAGCCGCCTCCAAACCTATTTATTTTTTTTAACATTTTTTATTTATTTTTGGGACAGAGAGAGACAGAGCACGAA